TGTGGGGGAGGGGGGGGGGGGGGGGGGGGGGGGTAAAGCATAAAGCCAGGTAGATCGGTCGCCTAATAATCAGTGGAACGTGGAACCCTGGTTTGATCCTGGTTTATGTCATCCCGCGTATGAGATAATGGGTGGTACATTTGAGCTGAATTTAATATAATATCCATCCCTGTGAGAAAACAAATTCGCTAATATACAAAATATATGGACGCGATTACTTAACGCTGTTATTTTCGGCTTTTATTACAGTGAATGTGCGTGAAGAAATTGTTATTTTATCCAACTTGAGGAATGTGGGGTTTATTCCTTTTAATTGGATAGCCAATTTTGTTGCACATTTTTTCTATTTATTGTGAAGTAAACAATTATAGGAAGTGCAAGTATGTATATAAGAAGAAAGAGATTTTTTGTATGCATGCAAACGGCGTTTATATCGCTCGTATAATTGTTAAATTTTTTATAAACATGATGGAGATGATAAACCACACATGTATGTATGACAAATCATAATTTCTTCTCCGTTTTTGGAGAATGGATGCTTTCTATTTACAGTGACATAAGCCGATTTTTATAGTCATTTCAACTCTAACTCAAATTTGCAAGACAACAATATTATACAAGATATTTTTAAAGTGACTATCTATTTTGCGAAATATATATTTTCCTGTCTTAAAGGTGTTTTTTATTATATATATATATATATATATATATATATATTTAGACAATATATATATTTTATGGACCTAATTTAATTATTAGTTTCTACATGGCAATTATCAATGTCTCTATAGATCTCAAAGCAATATCAGCTGTTTCGTGGAACACATGTTCAAGCATTGCAGGTGTTATCTTTTGAACCACTTCAGTAATACAATTTCAAAGATTACTATACCTCTAATTCTTCTACTTCAGACTTAATGAAATATTACAGGAAAAAATATCAGTCTTAAATCAGACAAATGCGCTGCCCATGATTGAAATCCCCCATGGTGTAAAGCAATTGAACTTTTATAAATACATGAATTTGTATAACATTGGACATACTATTATTCTTATAATAATTTTTTAAAATATCTCTAATTTCGCTAAAATAGATAGTCACTTTGGGAACATTCTGTATTATATATAATAATTATATTATAAATAATAATTTTGCTGTTGATTATTCAACAATTAAGTTATTTGGAGTTTTATTGAAATGATTGGAGGAGTCAAGTTATGTTCATTTACCACTTAAATGGAAAGTATTCAATGTTGTTTGCACTAGCAAGTCTTGCAATTGTAATAAGAGTTGTGATACTAGTCATGATAAATTTGACCTAGGACAAAAAGGAACAGATTTGAATAACTAGAAAATCATACATATTATGTTACCTATCACGCTAAATTATGCTTTGTTTGCTTTCTACATGAATCAATGTCTGCTTTAAAAGTTTACATTCCATTTATTATTTAGACGCAAAGTAACAAAAGATTTCCATTTATAATTTCGTTTTAGTAACAGTTTTCATAATCTTTGATACATTTATATGATTCTATTTCTTTTAGTAGACATGGTTTTCCAAAATGGATATGACAGAATAAGACATAATGTAACTAATATGACTGTGACACAATCAAAATTATTTAAAATATGGTACTTTAAAACATAATTTACATTACTATTCATGGATTAAAGATGATTATCAAAAATAAATCTTGTCGAATGGTAAGTATATATGTTTGTTAATAATCTTATTGCAATCACAAATGTAAACGTTTAAAAAATTATTTTATAATTTCACATTATGTCATTATTACATTATTTTATTATACATTATAAAATTTTTAGGTATTACTTATAATTTATATTATTTAATTATTAATATTGCATTATAATTTTTTGATATTTAATATTAAGTAATCTTTTATTGTGAAAGATCATAAATAAAAAAATTTTAGTAAGAGCTATTCTATTTTATCTATTTTTCACAAATTTTTTTATTTCCTCGATGAATTCTCATTGTCAGTATGACTCCTGGGGTAATCTAACAAAATAAATGGGCTCGTTTTTGTGTCATTAGAAACTTTTGATTTGTTGTCATATAAGAGTATTTACTGCAGTAAGATAGAGACTTTATCTAATATATAGATTCATCTTATCTCTTTATTTATTCTTTAATTATATAAGTTTTTGTTTATCATTTTTATTATTGCTTTTCTTTTTGTTGTGTGTGTGCAAGTGTGTAGTATCTGTTATCATGTTATACATAATAAGTTTTATATCTTTTTTATGTGCAATAAATTCAATATATGAATATTCTGTACTTTATGTTGATAAATTTTTAGTTTTTTTATGAAATTTTTGCATTAGTGTATCGGTTAAGTTAATGTGAATGTAAACTCTACTCATCAAGATGGCAATTGGAAATATTATCTGTGGTGCAAATACTACACAAGTGAAAAAAAAGAAAATTAAGGTATATTTTTTGTTATTAAGGATGTTTCTCTCTTTTATTATTTTAAAGATATCACATTTTATCATCGATATCAATTCTATTCTATATTCCAAGTGTATTACAATTTTAATATTAATATTTTAGCCGTTATTATTATTATTATTATAATTATTGTTATTATTATT